AAAAAAAAACGGACCTCACATGAGATGGTACAAGATGGGACACAAGGACAGGCATCTGTCAAGGGCCTGACTGGTGTCACGGGCAAGAAAAGAAGTTGATGGGAAACAAAAAATAAAATAGCATTTATCTACAGATAACAGGGTCTATGTAAGAATTCTACAAAGCATCTAAATTAAATGTAGAAACCTATGACACACTTTTCAACTCTGGTGTGAGCTCCCGAGAATCTCCCAGCACACTTGGCGCCTGAGAGGAGCCCACTCCTACCTCTGTGGCCTGGCGAGGCCTCCGTCCTGCCTGGCCCCCCCTTGCCCTGCCCACCCTCAGAAAGTCTCTACTCAGTTCTGCTGACTCAGAAGCGCAGCAGCCCCATTGTCCCCACACTCGGGGGCTGGTGAGACCAGGCGTTGCTGCTTCCAGACTCCAGCACTGTGCCATGCATCTGCCTTCCCATGCAGGCCAGCAGCACACCCACCCTGCCTGCGCAGCTGGTGCTCCTGGTGGCTCCCATGGGCCTCTGCGCTGGTCAGTGCCGCACACAGCTGCTGCAGCTTCTCCTGGTTCTGCAGGTGCGTCATGCGCAGCTGGGCACGCAGAGCCTGGATCTCAGAGAGCAAGCTGTTCCTGTCGGACAGGTGGAGGTGCTCCAAGGACTTTTCTTGCACGTTTCCCTGGGGATGGGATAGGGAAAGAGGGAAGAGTAGACCAAGCACAAAATACAGGACTTCCCGGGTGCCTCCAAGGCTGGGAAGGCCAAGAGCCCCATACCCCCAGCCCTCCCTGCAGCCCAGCCTTTGCAGACCCATGCTTCAGTTCTGCTGGGACAAGCTTGTTGAGTGCGTGAATCCAGAATAGGTGCACAGTGCCTCTGGGGGCCCTCGGTTCCCAGTACATTCTCCATGCGCTCTCAGGCCTGTGGGGCCTGGGCTGGGCTGTGCTGACCCGCTGCGGGGCCTAGTCAGCACCTTCCTCTGAACACTCGGTTTTGAATGTACTTTTTGTGTCCTCTGATCCTCTAACCCCAAGTGTGGAGTGCTTAACAACCGAGGAAGGGCCACTTGGAATCACCCTCTGCCAGTGATTTCCAGATCAAAGTGAGGGCATAAGAGAGAATCAATGTGCTCAACTGTCCTCATTACAGCTCACGAGTACAAGCACAGCCTGACACAGAGTGATGCATGATCTGCTCGGTCAGGTACTGCCACATTCCAAGGTTGAGAGAAACACATGAACCAAAATTCACATATGAAACAGACTCTGTCACTCTGTTCATTCATTAGGGCTGGGCTCCTGGTGGGTAAGACAAGACATGGACATAGAGCAGTCGCTCACCTGCTCCTGGATGGCATTCCCCAGCCTCTTGAACAAGGCACTGTGATCCCCAGGGTCTGAGTTGCAGAGTCTGGGCTGCAGCTGGACCTGCAGCATCTCCCACTCTTTCTCAAACACCCCCTGGATGACCTGCAGAAATTCTCCTCTCCAATCAAAGCACATGTCCGAAGCTTCCTAAAATATTCAAAGAAGAAACTCAGTGGTCTCTAGGTGCATTCTACAGGTGCTGTATGGAAAGAATGTTTGTGTTCCCCCAAAATTCATATTTTGAAGCCCTAACCCCAATGTGATGGTATTTGGAAGTAATAAGGTTTAAATGAGGTCACAAGAGGGGGCCCCATCTGACAAGACTGTGTTCTTATAAGAGGAGAAAGAGACACCAGAGCCACTGTGTCACAGGAACATGGACAGGCCTCTCAGGGTTCTTGGCTATGGCTCCCTGTGGGCAAAGCCAACAGTGTAGGCTCCGTAAATACTTTGGAAAAGTTGTACATGAGCTGCAAAATAAAACTGCGTGTTCCCACTTACTGGACCAAACACTTCCATACCTTCTCTCCCTTTTGTGGTTGTCGTGCTGACTCCAGCAGGCCCTGCCCCTCCCTCGAGAAGTGGTCCAGGGGTGTGTGTGGCTCGCCCTTGCCCAGGGTCCTAGGCAGGCTGCAGCTCTCTGACAAGGCCAGTATCTGGCGGCTCTCGTCACACACCATCTGCAGCAAGGCCTGAGTAGGAAAAGCTCGTTAGAAAGGGGGAAGACCAGCTTGAAGCCTCCATCCATGTCCTGTTCCATCCACCCTATCAGTGTGCAGGCTGTGTAGCTCAGCCCTTCTGAAAGCAGTGGGCAGCAGGGAAGAGGGGATGCCCCTGTGGGCTTTGTACCAAACAGCAGAGTCTGCTATTGTAACCATGAGGTCTTCAGTTTTCCTCCCCTGCAGCCTTCAGAAAGACAACAATGAAACCAGGTTTGAAGAGTGAATTTCTGCATGAGATACTCCAGGGATGGCCCCATAATTTACTCCTTCCCACCAGTTATCCCTCCAAGCCCAGGCAGAGCTCAGGGCAGGGCTACAGCCAGGTCGTGAAGACGCCATGGACCTCCCTTGCTCTCCTGGGCCACGAAGAGGCCTGTGCACATGGTGCAGCTGCCAGCCAGTACCAACTACCAGCATGGGGTCAAGGGCATGAGGCCAGATGTGGGGAGCAGGGAAAACCATCCCCAAAAGGCTCTGTCCAAGTCTTGACCCACAGGTTTGTGAGCACAATGTGGCTGCTCCACACGACTGAGCATGGACGGGGACTGACACACTGGCCATCTGTCCTACCCAAGGAAGCTGAGGGAGGACAGAAGATGGCTTCTATGAGCCATTCTCAAGGAGAAGCCGTGTCAAGGCCAGCACAGAGCCCAGTGCCCCCATGGACATCTTTGCCACAGCTGCAAACGAGGACTCTGCATGGGACATGTTTAGCTTAAAAATCTGAGGGGAAAAAAAAACTGGTAAAGTTCAAAAAGAGAAACGTTGAGACCAAGAAACGACAAGGCCTGTGACGCAGCCCGGTCAGTAGATAGGAACACGTTCTGCTGTGATTCTGACGACGTGACCAAGAAAGAAGTGGAACACGACTGGAAGTACTGGAGAAGTGGAACACGACTGGAAGTGTATCACTTTAAAGATGACGGCCTTCCACCATTTTAAGTAATTTTTCTTTAAAACAACTTATTTGACATGACACGGACACACATCGAGGTCTCTGGATGAGGACTAAGGGTGAGCCTGGCAGGCCACACTCCATCCTGCACCAGCGAAGACAAGAAGAGCCAGGTAACCACAGTTATCACCCTGGCTGTAGACGATGGGCCATTTTCTATTTTTTATATGCTTTTCTGGATTCTATAACGAAGACAAACAGCATTTTAAAAAACACCTCTCCCAAAGAAAGAGGTAGTCCCTCCAGCATCCCCACCAGGTGGCGTCACATCTTTGTAGATCTCGGTTTTCTGTAAGGAAATCCACGTGGAACAGGGCCACAGGCCAGAGAGGAGGGCAGAGACCTTGCTGGTGGCTCCAATCTCAGTATACTGTCTTCCTTTCAGCCTGGGGGTCCCAGGGACATAATCGTTAGGGCTGAGAAGATTTGGAGCCTCCACTGTCAGGGCCGAATGTCTGCCAAGGGAACTGTGTTTTGGCCACAGCCCACAGGTGTGTCCTGTCCCCTGCCCCTGCAGTCACCCTCTACACTGTCCAGGCCCTTGGCGGCTGACACTCAGCACTTCCTACATGGCCTCACACAGGCCACTCACCTGCAGCCCATGCCCAGGCTTAAATCCCAGGCACAATCGCCTGAGGTGCCCAAGCATGGCTGGGCTCAAGCCCTTCCCATGACCTCCCTTGGCACATGCCCCACATTCCTCCAGCCTCCCAAGTTCAGGGGCTTACAAGACGTCCATGACTGATGTCTGAGCACAGGAATCTCCCATGGTTCCTAAGAACGGCACATAGAGCAGACCAAGCCAACAACTACAGCCTCCTGAGCTGCCTGCTGGCTCTCACTGCAAGTGCGAGGCCATGATCCGAGGATGTTCTACATTCCCAAAATACAGTTTAGAAATGTAAAACAATAAAGGAAAACACTGAGTCTAAGACAGTGTGAGAAACCTATCAAAAAAACACCCTCCTGTCACTTTCAGCCGAGCGGGGCAAGCACGGCTCTTTCTGCTCACTGTCCACCTCTCAGTGCCTTCTTCAAAGGGCCCGGGTGGGGGGGGGCTTCACTGGCTTTTTTTGTTTTCTTTGTTGATTACTAAGCATAAGTGTGAAGAATTGTCATTAACAACCAAATTTACTCCTTAAAAATCAGGAAATATTCTAATATTAGATAGTGCTAACAGAAACATCTCCTCGATGTTTTATATCATATAAAAATTGGGGGAGTGCAAGGAAAAAGAAAAAAGACAAAAAATCAACTACTCCAATTTTCATTCTTAAATAAAATTTCAGAAAAGATTTTATTAACCTCCAAATTGTTTTATTTGGGGCCGGCCCATGGCTCACTGGGGAGAGTGCGGTGCTGATAACACCAAGGCCACGGGTTCGGAACCCATATAGGGATGGCCGGTTAGCTCACTGGGTGAGCGTGGTGCTGACAACACCAAGTCAAGGGTTAAGATCCCCTTACCGGGCATCTTTAAAAAAAAAAAAAAAAAACAAATTGTTTTATTTGGAAATGCTTTTATTATTCGAATGAGACACGATAATGATATTATATCATTTACTTAATTAGCCGAGTTTATGTCAATAGTTTTGCTATAAAATAATCTGCTAAATTGGGAGAGAAAAGAAAACCTATGAAAAGTCCCACAAAAATTCTGCCTTCAGAGTTGGCTCCAAGGGTGCAGCCTGGCCCCCTAGGAGATGCTTAACCCTAGAGTTCACATAGGCAGCCCTCAAGCCTGGGACATGTCTGGTTCTGTGGCCCTGAATGCGCAGCACCCATGGGCTTGCAGGCCCCCCACTGCCCAGACAGAAGATGCACCTGCGGGGCTGGCACAGATCTGCGATGGGACCCCACTGGTGAGGATCAGGACACACCTGCCCATGACGGGGCCCTCAGCCAGGCACAACCATCATGATGGGACCCTCAGCCAGGTACAACCATATCCAGACAGTAAGAAGAGGGAGGGCCCTTGATGGGAAGGCCTCTATGCTTCTAGGCAAGAGGCCTAAAGGTCCCCCTTTTCCATCAGACACAAAGAAATGCCACAGGCTTCCTGCTGCCTGCGGACAGCAGCTGCTGAATGGGAAGGAACCAATGACTGGTGAGCCTCGAGGCACCTGCCCGACACAGAACACACAGGGCTGCAATAACAAACTCTCCTCAAGGGCTCAGCCGAGCAAGGGCTGAGGCTGCCCGTCAGAAACACCCTCACCTCCTTCCCAAGCACCAACATCAGGAAATACGTATGAGCAAGGCCATAAAGGCCATCTGGTAATATCCTCTGGAAGGGACGAACACACTATGTGCTTCAACAGCAAAGCTGGTGGGACCCCCCCTTTCAGGACCCTGGTGTGGAGACAGAAGGGCAGCCAGGCAGGAGCGGCCACCCCTGAGGTCAGTCTCCAAAACCAAACAAAAACCAAACACAATCACTTTGCAACAAATGGTCACAGGTTTTGTGTTTTTGGGGGGTGGCTAGCTGGTACAAGGCTCCAAACCCATGACCTTTAGGTTATAAGGCTGTACTCTAACCAACTGAGCTAACTGGCCAGCCTGGTCACAGGTTTCAATGAGTAAATTCAGGAAGATGAATCCTAGATCTGTCTCTCTTGTGATTCGTTAAAACACATGTACTTAGAGACACCCAGGAAGAGCAGGTCCGCCTGTCACAGGACCACAGCTCCCAGGGCCCCTGCAGCCCTTCAACCCAGGCTCTCACCTGGGTCACCTGCCCCGATGCCCCTCAACAGCAGCTTCTCTCCTTCCAGACGGCACCAGCAGACCAGGGGTTGCAGAGGGCTAGAGGCATGAGGCATGCTCTTACCTTCATGTGCTTTGGATGGACTTCTTTCCCCTTCATTGCTTCTAGTGACCATCGGAACCTTCCAGAGATGCAAGCAGGAGCTGTAACACTGGCGGCAGGAGCTGTAACACTGGCGGCTGGAGCTGTAACACTGGCGGCAGGAGCCTCGAGATCTCCTGTCCCCAGACTCAGTCTCGCTCCAAAACCCAAGCCATCACCTAAAAACACCACAAGGTCAGGGACCGAAACTACCCCTCTCTGGTACATTCTGCCAAGGACACACCACAGAGTGCAGGGTGGGGACAGCTGGAGCAGAAACACCCAGCAACAACTGTGGCTATGGCTCATCTCAATGAAGAAGCATTGATGGGCCTCCAGTCAAAGACAGTAAACATACGTTTATAAAAACAAAACTAAGATGAGAAGTACATACTTAAAGTAAGAACAAGCATGCTTTGCGTGTTTAGTATGTTAACGCCCATGACTTCCACACACACCTTACGGACATCTCGACTCACATCCACACACACAAGGATGTGCTGCTCCTCATCACCCAAAGACAAAACAGAACCCCCACTACTGCACCAGGCAGGCACTGCGAGGCAGCTGGATGCCCACAGGGCCGGCACTCTGCCCCAACCAGGGGTGTGAAGAGAAGGGGGTGGCTAAGGGGGTGGGGGGTTGAAGGTTACGACCAGGAGCTGAGATGAGCCACCTAGGTGGCATCAGGCTAAGGTGGAAAGGCCTGACCCGGGTGAGGTTGGGGTTGTGGATGGAGAAAAGCCCAAAGCCAGCCAGCCAGGGCTGAGGAACCTAGAGCAGGTCTACAAACTGAGAAACCAGGTGGCTCTGACAGGTGAGGGGCCTCAAAACAGGCTATTCGAGACCTCTTGGAAGTGCCCAAGTGCCTGAAGCAACGTGACTTCCAACCCAAGAGTCTACACTAAGCCCAAACTACCAAATAAAGGCCAGGAAGACGGGAACACTCTCAGAAAAAAAGGACCTCGCACACACTCTTTCTCCAGAAGCCTCTAGGTAACAAGCTTCATTAAAGTAAGGGACCATCAGGGGGACAAGGGATCCAAGGGGCAGAATGCTGTGCTCAGACAGCTTAGACAACATGCAGGCTCAGGTACTGTGTGGGAGGCCCTGTAGTGGATAACACGGCGGAAACAGAGAGCAATGGAAAACAAGCCAGTGTGAGAGACTGCACCCCAGTGACTCTGCTGGGAACACTGGACATGTCTGCTTAAAATGCACACGCTCGGCTGTGATCAGACAGGAAGTGTGGGCAGGACAACAAGGAAGCACACTGCAAGGAGTGTAGATGAGGCACTTTAAATCGTAAATGTGATATGAAAACAAAGCAAACTCTAGAGCCAGTTCTGACAGTTGAACGCTGATGTCCCCAGGGAGCGGCAGTCCTGAGTCGGGAGATGACAGAATCCCACTCCTGGATAGCACCTCCCAGAACCAATCGACCACACACTTAACTTACTACTTATAAAAATAAAAAATAAAATTACAAGTTGCTGGCCCTGATTCTGCAAATGCTAAAATTTCCAATGAACTACATTGTATTTTTCACTGTAATTCTGTTCTCAAAAATCACTGAAAGAGCCAGTAATAATTTTAAAATAAAACACCTCAGATAGTGATCAATATAAAAAAGCATCAGTTATTAAAAAAATGAAAAAGTTAAGAAAATAAGCTTGAAAACCAACCACCACAGTGATAACAGATCCAAGCAGGAACTGTTGATGCGGCCAAGGCTGGTGGGTGTGTTTGAGGAGCAAGAGAATGTGCATGCGGCCTCCAACTCTCCCCCATGAGACACCAGTCCCATGAAAAACAGAAGGAAACTGGGCAGACACCAGCACAGCCAAGGAAGCTGACCCCACGCACCTCCTGCTATGAGGCCTGGGGAAGAACTCAGCATCCCATGTACAATCACAAGACACGCCAGACACATGCGTGCAGAGGACCCTGTGACAAAGTCACCGCCTTTGCTCTTCTCAAATGTCAGTGTCTTGAAACCCAAAGACAGACGGACGGACAAACTGTTTCAAACTAAGAGGATGGACGAGCAGGTGGGACTGGGTGAGGCAGAGGTGCTCGAGTGCAAACGTGAGGGGCGCTGCCTGCAGGCCAAGGCGCTGGGCGTGCCTCCTCTGTCTTGGCCCCGCCAAAGACATCTGAACACAGTGTGTGAGCTGGGGTGCGCACCTTTTCTGTAAAGGATGCTAATGGGATCACTGGCAAAATCTGAGTAAAGTCTGGGTTGAGATTCCAGCCTTGATCAGCACAAACTTCCAGGTGCCAAGCGTGGTGCTGCAACCTTGAATGTGTGAAATGCACAATGACACACTCAGGAGTGCATAGCATCAGGTCTGCAACTCTCATCAGAGTATAGCCAGGTCAGCTGGGTACCCGCAAACATGTAAATGTGAATGCTGGGAGGAATCCAGGGTAAGGAAATACCGGAATTCTTTGTACCATTTCTGAAACTGCCAAAAGAAGCTAAAAAAAAAAAGATACAAACTCACTTTTTCCACTTTCCTCACTTTTTCCTGCTAGGCCAGGAGGATGAGATGCTGACGCTTCCTGAGAGTCAAAAGATGTTACCATGAAGTCTTCAACATCTTTCTCCTGTTCAGACAGGCAGATTTTAAATGATGGTATAATAACAATTTATTACATCACACACCTTAACTTGCCAGATGAAAACTTTCTAAGGCCTAAATTGATGATCTTCCCACATAAAATCAAAGTTCTCAAAATCTGTAAATATGTTTCCAATAACCTAATCAGAGTCCCCACAGATCTTCAGGAATATCTTAAAGTAGCCACTAGCAAATATTTCAGATTTAAAAATTTTTTGTATGAAATGACAGTATATAAATGCCTCAGATAACACATATCCCCTAAATTATTTTTTATTTTATCTTTCTTGTGATACACAAAACCCAAAAATTATGTTAGAAAAATTATAATCTAACTCAAAATAGTAAATTGATATGGTCTTAATATTAATTAGCATTATATGTGAAACCTGTTAAACAAAAAATACTACAGAAAATAACCCTAAGAAACATATTCTAGACAAAGAATCCTTAAGCAAATTGTACAGAAATATGGGTTCATGACTGTCCTTCTCAGAACAGGCACCAGTTAATAAGCATGCCCTGGGTGGATTTCTGAAGGGGCCAGCACACCCAGCAAGTTTTAAAACAACTAAAGCCACCTGAGTGCTGGCTGCACAGTCCCACAGGGCGTGCAGGGTGAGCCAACAATGGCAGCTGCTATGAAGTGCGCAGACCGGTGGGCACGTTCCCAAGGGAACACCGGGCCTAAGGGGTGCAGGCAGGCACCTACCACAGCTGTCCTCTCCACATGGTGGTGGCTGGCTGACGGAGACACTGTGCACTGCAGGACCTGCATTGCTGCTGACTCGCCTGGGTGACAAAGCAGCTCAGGTGCACCAGCCGGCAGCAGCAAGGGGTCCATCCTGTCCTGCAGGGAGGTGTTGGCGCTGCGCAGGCTCAGGGTACCTGAGCAGGGCGTCAGGGGGAGGCTGGGTGGAGGCTCCAGCGTTGAGTCCTTCCTGAGGACCTCTGGGGAGCTCCAGGAAGACAGGTCCAGCGCCCTGCTCAGGTTCTTCAGGGTTTCAGCCTCCTTGGTGTGGCTTGGGTCTTGGGAGCCTCTGTACACGCTAGTTTGTAAAGAAAGGGACCCATCCTGCAGTGCTAATTTTTCTTGAATGGGAAAATTTGGCATTTCATTTATTATCAAAGAATCCCGATTTTTAATAATATCAGTTAGATCCCATGTGGTTTTATTAGTATTAAATGCCTCCACAGAGAGCGGTTTGTCAGGTTCTTCATCCCTCTGAGATCTAACACTTGAACTATTTTCTAACATGTATGCTGATGCCAATGGCTGTTGAAATTTAAAATCTTCAGTGTCAACATCCTGGAAGGTCACAGAATACACCAGATGGTTCAATTTTTCTTGAAGTTGTTTCACCTGAGCTATGAGATCGTCCTTCTGAAGTTGACAATCTTCCAGTAGTTTTTCCTTACCCTGAAGTTAAAAAGAATATGCACATAGTAAAATAACTGAATTATAGGATGTCTCATGATTGTCTGGTGTTTATGAGCTGATTTCAGAGACTGTGCACTTAGGGGTGAGATTCCATGATAAGCCCTTTGGTACCTCTAGATGCTTAAGATGTCAAGTTTATCTAATTCCATGAAAAACAATCAAGCCTTAAAGCTTTTTGCTTAAAAGGCATTTGGCATAATGTATTTCTGTACTAATTTACTGAGGACACAAGTTTTTTGTGTGAGGTAAAAAGGACTGGAAGGTTCTAATCTGAACAGTGAAAAACAAGACTGTGGTTTATATAATGAATTTGGAGTTTCCTTGTCAGCATATAACTTCTAAAGAATTTGGCAACCAGCATGATGTCATGGGGCTGAGTTGTCTCTTAAGAATTCAAATGTTCCCGGCACGAGGGCATTCAAACAAATTTGCTGCACAGAAATGGTGAAAAGATTCCCTCTGCACAGGATACATTTCCTGAGGCGAGTTGATGAACACATGAAACCAGAGTCAGGCATCTTCTCTCAGAACCACCAGGCCAGTGTGCCGTGGACTCAGAATCTCTTGGGTCTAACACACTACATGGTACACATGGTGAGTGACACGCGGGTCCCACCCTGCACTCGTCACAAAGCACCCCAGCAATGTGTGTGACTTTCACACCAGCCCAAGCACACTTTGGCACCACACATGGGAAAGCAAAAAACCCAACCAACAAATCACTTTTGGTTCTAAGAGCCTTCTGGGTCTCAGAATGTGGATAAGGAGTTGGGGCCTGTCTTGTGAGCAGAGTGAGGATGAGACAGGGACAGTTATGTGTCAACAAAGGCTAGGTGGGACTCACCCACCAGGAGGAACCATGATGTCAAGGACAGCAAGCAGCCCCAGCCACCAAGGGCAAGTGATTTTGAGGACCTGTCCTGGGTACGAGGGCATGAATGGCACTGGCACCTGCTCTTCTTCTTAAATCTCAACCCTGAGACAATCTGAAGTTGCCACAAAAAAGCCTCCCCTGGGAAAAGAAAAGACAACTTTTCTTGAAGTAAAAATACAGAGGGTAAAAAACCCAAAGTCAAAAATAAATCTAAACCCTTTCAAAGTAACAGACACTGGAAATGAAGGTTCTGGGACAAGGTGGGGTCTGTGGGGATGATTTGGTCCTAAGGACAAGCTCAGGAGTGCAGTCAAAGACACTGGTATCAATTACAAGGAAAAAGAAACTAATTGTTTATCATTCACAAGCCACTTATTAGACCATGGGCAATGTCTGTTTCTAGGGAGTGTCTTAAATAAACATGCAGAAGTGTCTAAATGGAAGTGGACAGCATAGTCACAGTGGGACAAGATAAACTCGGGGAGCATGCCCCGTGAACGTCCTCGATGGTATGATCTCTGTGCACTCAGCGCCCAGCCCTCCCAGAACGTGAAGCACCTTCCTTCTCCCCGACACCTTGCTGCTGTCCCCCACACTCCAGTGGACTTCATCGCTCATCAGGAGCAGCTCTGACTCCAGTTGCTGCTGGCAGAGGGTGAGCACTGACATCACGCTTTCTTGTTTCGGGAGATCTGCATCCTTTAAAGTCACCAGGACTTTGGCAGGCTGAAAATCATCCTTAACAGAGAGAACAGGAATGATGCTTACAAAGGTCAAACTGAATGTATCAGAAACCGTCGTTCCCCCACCCCCCTGTGCAGGAGACTGCCCAGCTCTGGGTAGCACGTGATGCAGCAGGGACACCAGGGGAAGGCAGGTAGCCTGTCCACAGTCCTGCTATCTGCTCACTGCCCAGCTGGTCAACTTGAGCATGAGGCTGAGAACTCAGGGCAGCACCAAAGACCAGGGCAGCTGGGGCACCTGACAGAGCAGCCGCCCACTCAGGACCTACATGGGCATTGGGGCAGCAGCTGATCCCCAAAGCTCTACTCAGACACAAACTGGAGCATAAAAAAGAAGACTCACATAAGGCCTTCTGTTCCCAAATGAAATGAGCTTAAAACTTTACTTAGGAAATGCTTGTTAAGAGATAAACCATTTGATTAGAAACCACAGAGGAAAATTAAGAAAGACTGTCTAACACAAAATGATCACTGTATCATCAGATAGTATGGTATTAAAGGAAGGATTGTTTTAAAAAGCTTAAGTAACTTATACAATAGTGAACTCCCAGCCTGATCTCACTGAGAGTGGATCCTAACCAGGCCCGGCTGTAAGAGCTCCAGGCCCCTCTCCTCCTCCAGCAGGTCACAAGCCACCAGGAGAGCTGTCCCCCCACTGCCCAGACTGGAAAGAAGAAAGTTATTAAAACTAAAAGAGAAAACAAGGAGGAGAGTAAGAAAAAAACCCAAAGTCTCCTTCAAAGAGCACCAGACACACCTGGCCTGGCCCCTACTGGCCCGGCAGCCTGGGCCAGGGCCCCTTGAGTGCCTCAGCCTCTCTCACCCGAGATCCCTCACTTGCACTGGCTCCATGGCCTGCACAGGAACAAGGCCTACCCGTGTGTCTTGGTCCAGGGCATGGGGGGCTGTGGTCAGCCACCTGCCACCGACACCCCACTCCGATTCATCCTCGCACACGGCCTCCGCAACCCTGGCGACCCACGCCTCAGTGATGCCCCCCACACAAGGCTGCAGGCAGGCCCTGAGTGCTGGTGTGTGGGCTGCGGCCTGCGGGGTCTGCTGTCTGTCCAGCTCCGTCTGGCACCTCAGGAAACGCTGGTTCAGCACCTGCAGCTGGTGGCTCAGGCGGGCACACTGAGCGCGCAGCCGCTGCAGCTCAGGAGGCTCATCTGGTGCAGCCAGGGGTTGCTGTTCCAGAGCGCAGCGGAAACGGGCCAAGGCCAACAGGATGGCCTCCAGCTCGGCAGAATGGGCCACATTCCACTTGTTCATAGCATTAATTTCTAAATCTCTCTCTGCAATCAAGGCTTCCTTTGCTTTTAGGGCAACTTCAAACTCCCGGATCTGGGAGGCCATATTCTTGACCTCGGCCTCCCTGAGGGCCGCACTGCGCCTCAGCTCAGCCAGCTGCCGCGCAGCAGCCACCTCTGCTTCCCGCAGGCGCTGCTGCACGGCCTCCAACGCCTGGCTGTGTCCCTGTGCTTGGTCGGCCAGCAGCTGGCTCAGGGCCTCCTTGGCCATGAGTGCAGCGTCAAGCTCGCCCTGCAGCGGCTGCCCGACTGGGCTCTCCACCTGCAAGCTGAGCAGCTCACTCTGGAGACTCTCAGCCTGGCTGTCACTGACTTCATGCACCACAGGCCCCATGATGGACAGCTCTCTCTGCAGCTTCTCAATGACTTCATGGAGCTGTTCAATTTCTTCTGCTTTATCCTTTTGTAATCGCTCTTGGTTCTCTTGCAAATTTTCAATAATGGCTTTCAGCTCCTCAATTTCAGAACTTCTGCTATACTCAACCTGAGGAGAAAGCACATTTCAGAGCCAAATTAAACGTACCCACTTCAGAATGTCCCTCTTTCAACATGCAGTTCAGCCTTGTAGAAGCGAGACTCAACAGCTCAATGTGGCATTCGATGTTTGCAGACCCCCAGTGCTACACTCCAGTGCTTCAGGTGCAACCACTGGTCAAGGTTGGCACCTCTGGCCGCTGCTCTGTCCCCTTCCCAAACACCTCCACACACTCGGCTGTCAACTTGCAAGGAAGCTCTGGCATAGTCACTTCCCAGGCAAGAACAGCCACACCATAATGCTTTCACCACCCTTTATGTTAACATTTAAAGGACTTTGATTTGAATTCCCTGAAAGAAGCATTTAGATTTAAGGTATCATTCTAACACCAGAATAAAAGTGAGAAAATTGGCCAGAGAATTTGCAAAAATGAAGAACTGAATGAGCCCGGGTACTGCCCACTCTGCCTGCGTTCATGCCTGCACAGGAACATGGGTATTTCCACTGTTGCTGCCTCAGCTACTACACCAGGCTTCAAAGGAGGATACATTTACCTGTGCCATTTAACCCAATCTTCAGCAATTTTGAGGCAAGAGGTATTATGATTCCTACTTTAAACATGGGAAAATTGCAACTTAGATATCAAGTATCTTTCCAAACCCACAAAAATAGTAAGCGGAAAATCAGGATTGAAATCTATGTCAATATGGCTCCCAACTCCATTCTCTTAAGGTATCACTGGTGGTGACCAAGTGGAAAAATTGTAACCAATTTATGTTCTAGCTAACAATTTTCAAACAATTTGTTATGGTCAGTGTCTGCTTCCAAAAAACTGAGTGTTTCAAAACAATTCTTGGTTTCACTAGAACTACTTCACAGTTACTTTAGGTGCAAATACAAATTGGGCCTGGAGTATAAACAAAAATAAGAAACCTGTTTAGTTTTTGGCTTTGGTTTGGACAATATCCGCTATATACTGTATACACATTTACTGTTTATGAATACATTATACATTTGACAAAAGATAATTGCTAAATGCAAAACTAAATCCTCCCATCTTCTTCCAGTTCTATTTTGCACACCCCTTACTGTGCACTGCACAGACCCATGTCTTTGTGCAGGCAAGTGAAGAGATTTTTAAAGATAATTCTTACTGTATGCAATTTTTGCTTTGTCACACTAAATGTACTAAATACACTGGAATAAAAGAGTACGTACTACAAAAGTCATAATCATAACACAAATATTACATTTAAAATATTGGAGCCAGCACACAAAGGTGGCTCCCAAACGTAAAACACTAAAATCTAAAATCAGTCCTTGGAGATACAGTGCAGTTGGAACACAGCAAGAAAGAGATAAAAACATGTTAAGGTGCCAAAAATTAGGTTGGGGAACTCAGAAAAAGGGTAGACGTGACAGCAGAGAGCACATACGCTAGGGTCTCCCTGAACATGGTGTGTGGTTTCTTCCTGTACAGGATGGTGCAGAGGGGCCTGACCTGAGTGCCACCTGTTCTCCAGGGAAAGGAAACCCAGATGGGCCTACTCTGCCCAGCGTGGTGTATTATCAAAGGAATGTCCCTTAGCACCAGCAGGGGACTCAGAGGAGCAAGGAGCAGGGCTGGGAAAGGGAGGCTTGAGATCAAAGCTGGGGCTCCAAGTTTGGTGAGGACAAATGCTCCTCAAATGATTTCATGAAATCTGGAGGGTGATGCCCCACCCGCCTGTTGGCCCAGGAGGTCATGAGGGGAACTCAAGATGTGGCAAAGGACACCACAGGAGGGAATTTCCATTTCTGAGGCTCTGCCCTCAGGCAGTGCAGCTTGAGGAGGCTCAGGAGAAGGAATCAGGTCAAGCTATGGAGAGCAAGGAGGTGTTCCCAAGAGACAGAGAAGAAGGGAAAGAAGAGCCCCAGATTCCGTGTGTTATTTCTACCCACGTCTCAGGCCAACTCCATCACACAGGTGGGGATATCGACAGCTACCCCTGCAGGCAAGACAGAGTGGGTCCTCTGAGTCTAACCAAGCTGACTAATGCTAAAATAAAAATCTCAACACACTTCAGAAGCCAGAGCTCCCACAACATAACTTGCAGAATGTCAAGGATGCAAATAAAAATTACTCACCACCACCACCAAATATCAAGAACATGCAGCCAATTCTGAAAAAACAACCAATGGCACCAACCCTGAGAGGACAAAAGATGCTTAAACAAGCAAACAAGAATGTTAATGCAGATGCAAACAATTGTGTTCAAGGACCTAAAGAAAAGTATGCTCACAATAAACAAAAAGAAGAAAGGAAATACTGACAGAAGAACAGACACTATAAAAAGAAACAAAAATTTTATGACTAAAAATTACAGTATCCAAAATTTAAAAATATACTCATACTGGATGTGACAAAGAGTCCACAAACTTAAAGCATCATGGAGATTATCCCATCAGGAGAGGAGAAAGGAAAAGAATTACAAAAAATGCACATGGCCTCAAATATCCACGGGAAGATAGGAGAGGCAGGGCATATTTGCAACTGGAGCTCCACAAGAGAGAGGCAGATATCTCAATAAATGATGGCCAAAAATATCCCAATATAAAACATTAATTTGAATAGCCCTACAACTAGTAGGGAAATTGAATCTGAAATTTTTTAAAACCCCAACGAAGAACTCATCAGGCCCATATGGTTTCACTAAACAACTCTACTCAGCATTCAAAGGGTAAATAATAAATAACACTGACTCTACATAGTCTTCCAGAAAACAGAAGACGAAAAAAAGATTCATTAAATGAAGCCATTATCACCCTGACACCAAAAACAGACAAAGACATCACAAGAAAACTACAGACCAATAATATCCCTGATGAATATAGATGTGTAACTTAACAAAACATTAGTAAATAGAATTCAGCAATATATAAAAAGAATTATGTTCAGAATCTTCAAAGAGTTTATGATTCATATTATCTTTCAATCCCATTTTCCATGAACTTTTTGAAGTACCTCCCTTATTCCAGGGATGCAAGGCTGGTTCAATATTTGAAAATCCACCGTATTAACAGGCTAAAGAAGAAAAATCACATGATCACATCGATTGATGCAGAAAAAAGATTTGACGAAATTCAATACCATTTTTGTTTAAAAAAAAAAAAAACTCTCAGAAAACAAAGAATAGAGAAGAACTTCCTCAAGTTGATAAAGAATACCTAAAAAGAGCCTAAAGGTAACATCACATTTAATGGTGAAAGACTGAATGTTTTCCCATAAGATCTGAAACAAGGCAAAAATGTCCACTTCAGCACTGTTATTCAACATAGCACTGGAAGTCCTAGCTAGCTTGATAAGGCAAAAGGATACAAAAAAAAAGCATACAGGTTGGAAAGTTACATATTGAACTATCCCTATTTGCAGATGACATGACAGTCTACACAGAAAATTCCAAAAAAACAACACAAAAAGTCTTTACGGTTAACAGTGAGTTTAGCAAGGTCACAGCATACAGGTTGATATATAAAAATCAACTGTAATTCCATATACTAGCAATAAATAATTAGAATTCAAAATTAACTGGCCAGCTTCCAAAGAAAAAGTAAAATTAAATATATCATTTATGATAATAGTACCATAACAAAATAGAATATGTAGTATGAACCTAACCCTAACAAAATATATGCAAAACATGTAAGTTGAAAACTATACAACACCAAGGAAATAAATAAATAAATAAATAAATGGAAAGTCATATCATGTTTGTGGACTGGAAGACTCAATATTGTTAAGATGTTAATTTTCTCCAAATCAATCTATAGATTCAATGCAATTCCAATCAAAATATCAGCAAGAGTTTTTGTAGATATCAGCATTTTAATTCAAATATGTACATGAAAAGTCAAAGAAACTAGAATATCCAAAACCACTTTGTAAAAACAGAAAAAGTGGGAAGATTCACATCTGATTTGAAGACTTCTTATAAAGTTACAGTAACAGTGCGATATTAGCAGAGAGAAAGAGAGAAACTAGATTAATAAAACTAAATAGAGAGTTCAGAAATGGATCTAAACAAACATGGCTAATTGGTTTTTGAGAGGTGCAAAGGCAATTCAATGGAAAAAAAGAGTTTTTCAACTAATAGTGCTGGAACAACAGGACATACACATGCCAACAATCAACTGAAAGTGCATCAGAGACCTATATGTAGTGAAACCATGGAATGTCTAAAAGAAGACAGGAGAATACTTTGGGTTATGCAAAGCGCTCTTAGATACAACTCCAAAAGTGTAATCCAGTAAACAAATTACTGAAGTGGACTTTGTTGAAAATAAAAAGCCTTGCTCTGTGAAACATATTAAGAATGTGAAGAGACAATCCATGGAGTGAGAGAAAGTACCTACAAGTCGTGTATCAAAAAAACAACTTGTGCTCAGAACAAAGAATTCCCAAAACTCAACAGTAAGAAAACAAACAACCCAATTTTCTAAAAAAATAGCAAAATATTTGAACAAACATTTCACCTCAATATGAGTGCAAATATGCACAGAAAAAGATACTCAAGATCAGCAGTCATTAAGGAAATGCAGATCAAAACTACTAGGATATACCAACACACATCTACCAGAATGGCTAAAGTTAAAAGACTGACTACAGCAAATACTGATGAGGATGTGGCTAGGCCTGAGGCTCTCACATACTGCCAGCGGAATGTAAAATGGTAGGGCAACTACAGAAACCAGTCTGGAGGTTTTCCTTAAGGTTAAATATATACTTACATATGAATCGGCCATTCCACTCCTTGGTATTCAACCTAAAGAAATGAAAACTTATTTCCTCACAAAAACCTGTACATGAATGTTTACAGCAGCTCAATTCATAATTGCCAAAAGCAACAAACAACCCGATGTCCCTCAGAGGGTGAACAGATAAACAAAGTGTGGTACGTCCATACAAGACCATTCAGCACTGACACACTCCACAGCGTGACTTCCAAATGCATTACGCTGAGTGAGTGACTTGATGTGGAATTCTGGAAAGGGCTAAAGAACAGATCAGTGAGGTTGCCAGGGCTGGGGGGTGACCACAAAGGGGCAGGCAGCACAGGGAAATTTCTGGAAGGATGGCATTGTGGTGGTGATTACAGGACTAAATGCATTTTTCAAAACTCATAAAACTCACCAAAAAGTGAATTTTACTGTGTGTAAATTTTAGAAAATAAAAACCGAAAAATCTAAAAATAAATGGTTATATCTCCTTGGACCTGGAGGGAAGCACTAGCAGACCACGGCATACCCTGCCAAGGTGAGCCCAGGAGACCCGCGTGGCACAGGAAGCCCCTCCACCCCCTGGACCCAGAGGGAAGTGCCAGTTCCCGCAGCATGCCCCACTAAGGTGAGCTGAGGCCTGCGTAGTGCTGGGGGCTCATTCTATGGTCACAAATTCTGGATCAAGACCCAAGGTGGGGTAATATAGCCACTATCACACCTACTGTCAAGCAAGGACAATTCACCACCACAGTAGTAGCCAGGGCCACTCTACAGGTAACCTACTGATCACTCAATTACACTGATATAAGAGTCACCAGTAAAGCCTGCAAATAAAGGAAGAAATCTTTATCCTCATAGCCAACCTCAGTATAAGAGAAGAAGCAAACCCTCTACCAAATGACCAAACATCAACAAAAAAATACTAGACACTGCAATAAGGAAGAAATGGAAATAAAATGGGCCGGCCTGTGGCTCACTCGGTAGAGTGCGGTGCTGATAACACCAAGGCCACGGGTTCGGATCCCATATAGGGATGGCCGGTTCGCTCACTGGCTGAGCGTGGTGCTGACAACACCAAGTCGAGGGTTAAGATCCCCTTACCGGTCATCTTTAAAAAAAAAAAAAAAGAAATGGAAATAAAAGACAAAGATTAGAAAGAAACAAAACTTTCTTTTTTTGGAGATGGTATAATCTTATACACAGAAAGCCCTAAAGAATCTACAAACTCTCCTAATATACAGTTGACCCCTGAACAATTTCAGGGTTAGGGGCCTCTATCCCCCACCCAGTCAAAAATCCACATATAACTTTTGACTATCCCAAAATTTCACTACTTAATTACTACTCAAGTACATCGCACGTTTCCAGGGTCTGCACTGAAAGCAGACACCGGAAGTGTGGAAGCAGCTCTGCATCATTACTTAAGTAGTAGTTTAGTTAACTAGTTACTTAACTATTTGGTCATGTCATGAATAACCCCAGATTTTCCAATGTATTTACTGAAAATCTGTAGGTAAGTGGGCCTCCACAGTGCAAACCCATGTTGTTCAGGATTTGCTATAAATAACTTTAGCAAGGTAATGGGGTATATGGTTAATATGAAAAAATTATTTATACACGCATGTGTGTGCATATACTCATGACAAACAACTAGATGAAAAAAATTTTAACAGTAACGCAAAAAACTCTAAAATGACTTAGGAATTATCTTAACAAAAGATGTGTAAGACCTCCTTATTCAAAACTATAGAATAAGGGAAAAGTAAATGATAAAGTTAAAGAAACATCACTAATCCCAGTGTTAGAATAAGCAATACAGGAAGGGATGCTACATGCTGAGAATAAGATGTTGGAAAGACAAGGAGCTGCTGGAGAAGGAAGTATGGAAGCAAGCAGTCACAATCACCACTACATCAGTGGAGACAAGAGCATAATCTTTGCAACACACCCGAAAGATCCTCGACTCCAGAAGATGAGAATCTTCACTGACATAAAAATAAGGGTAGAAAACATCAACTATGGTTTCCTTCAAAGAATTAGAAACCTAACAAGGGTCAGCCCTTTAAATGAAATTTTAGTTTTATTTATTATGTAAAGCAAAAATAAGTACACAACATCCACACCTTTATGAAAAACTAGAATTGGAGAAAATAAAGGATGTGCAGATTTGCACATATCTAGAAAAGGAAAATATTTGGGATTTTCATTATGAAGCTTTCTATTCTTAACAGAACTAAAATATTGTCCTTTTCATGGAAAATAATTTTAATGTTTTTCATTATATAAAATTACATTCACATGGCAAATTCTAAAGCAGTAAGGACAAATAATAGACAGGATCTTTTTTTAAAAAAATGATTATAATTAAAAATTAATTTAAAGGCATTTCTCAAAGTATTAATAAAAAAGGATATTAAAAAATGTTACCAAATATGCATGATACTAACAGATACAACACAGGTCATTAATATCTCAAAGTCTCTGCCACTTGGAAATCTAGAGAAGTATAAAACTACAGACAAAACTTCTACTTTCTACCCTATGGCCCCCCACTATACTTACATCCTCCTCCAAAATTAACGAAAAAAAGTATTATAAACATTACACAAGGAAACAGAGGACTGTCACCCTAGAAAGCCAGAGGCCCGTCAATCACACCTACAAACCACCAAGAACTTAACACAGGAGACACGGCCATGGCTGGAGGAAGAGACACATCATGCACGCGCGTGTGTGGGTGTTGCCTGGAGCTACTCACTCACAGACATTATCTCCTTTTCTTTGTTGTGCAGAAATGCCTGTGGAAGTAGTAATAACCACCGCCATAATAATAATAATGATAAAGCCAACAGAGTATTACTATGTGAAATATTCCCGACTTTGTAGATATGAAATGTCTTAATTAAATAAGCCTGCAGTTTTAAATTTGAAAATTGAAAATTCAATTAGAAAATGTTTTTCTATTAAAGTCCTTTCTGCTTAAAATGACATATTAGTTTGGCTTTCAAAATCCAATTATTGGGGCCAAGCCCGTGGCGCACTCGGGAGAGTGCGGCGCTGGGAGCGCGTTGGCGCTCCCGACGCGGGCTTGGATCCTATATAGGGATGACCAGTGCGTTCACAGCGCTCACTGGCTGAGCGGGGTGTGGCCGGTCTCAAAAAGGACAAAAAAAAAAAAATCCAATTATTGTATTTCTCCAGGAAATTGTTTCAAAGCAATCACCAAAGTAGAACTACGCTCTTGCCTGGTTCTCATCTACTGACTAAGGGAGAATTTACACTGAAAGGACAGCTTGTTACTAGGACCAGCCTGAAACTTCCTTTTGACTCCACATACTTTCAAATCATACAGATGCAACCTTTGTAAGAATTAGACGTAAACGACACAGCCCCTCAGATTTCCTCAGTACTATTATATTAGTTCACTCAGGGTTGGACCACAGATGGGGACTCTAAACATGTTTCAAGGCCATCATGTAAAGTTATGTTTTCTTTGCAACTTTGAATATCATCTCAACTACATAGAGGTTGTTTTTCTCTCTGCTTCAAAAGCACAGTTACATTAAAATAACAGAGACTTAGAAACAGGTTTTTCCCCACCATGCAGTGGGTCACCCCTTCTAGAAGAGCACAGCCCCTAAGGGCCTAAAGCCACTCACATCTTCCCAGCATGATTTATCTCCTCCTGCCATTTCTGTCATTAGGGAAGCCCTCTCCTGGAACTTCACTCCAACAAAGACCTGACTATCAGGGCTGCAAACAGGAAGGAGAGTTGGGGACAGAGGTCTCTGGTTGCCCACTCCTGGTCACTGGAACACTGCCCCTGCATCCCAGCCCTAGTGCAGAAGTCAGGCACTCCTAGAGCTTCAGAGAGAAATCTCCCACATGGCTGGGAGGCCAGAGACTCATCTCCCACAACCGAGGATCTTTGTGGTTGACCCCAGCATTTACATGATCAGAATAAACTTCGGATTCAAGGTGGATGGTCTTTAGTTTACCTTCAGGTTGGCATTCTCTTCTTCAAGTTCTCTGATGCTGATGGCAGCATGGCTGTTCTGCACATCTAATTTTAAGCTCAGATGTAGTATTTCTTCATTTTTACTCACTAAGTCACCTTTAATCTTTTCTAGCTGTTCTTTTAAGTCCAAAACCTTTCATTAAAACAAAAAACAGGAAGGATTAAAAATTACCTAATACTCCAACTGATTTAATAAAACTGCTATTTAATTTTTGAAAGATTAAAAAGTACATGCCCAAAACAGTTATTACTGTCCTATACCCTCGTAAAAGTGATAAAACTACAAAGGACATGCAATCATCACTGACACACCAGCTGCACCATTGGAACATCTGGCCTCCTACACAGAACTCACTGAAGGTTAGCAGCAGACACTCTAAGCTGGAGCCAGGCAGTCCCAATAGCCCTGCTCCCCATGCACCACGCCCTCGCACCCCAGAAGTGCCCTCTGAGCCACCTCAGCTTGGATTTCTGGACCCTCAGGAGGAACAGAGCATTTGCCTTCATCTGGTTCAGACGTCAACGTGGATGCCAGAAGCAAGTCACTCATCTGCTGCTCCTTCAATACCTCTTTATCCTATTCATGAAAAAAAAGTTATTTTAGGCAAATATTTAAGGAATCAGGAACTTCAACTTCTGTCTGTTAACATATAAATCATCCTCAGCTCTTCCTGAAGCACAGTGGGTACACCTGCATACACCTGCACTCAGTGACTCGCCAGAAACACACAGAGGACAGAACCCAGCCACACTCCCAGCAGAGACCACCTGGTGAAGGATGTGGCTCCAAAGAGAGAGCCACAGACGGTGCCCATGATTCCACAGCAAGAAATTTATCTTCAGTAATCATTCAACAAGATAAAAATATTTCAGTAGATTGTTACCAATTTTTAAAAAATTGGAAAGAACTTGCTAAAAAACAGGGCAACGGCTAAAAGCACATCCATACAATGGACGCTAACAGCCCATGAAAAAGTTCACAGAGAACATTTAACAGAGAAAACGCTCACAAAACAGTCAGTGGGAAGAAACAGGCAAACCAATCCATATATGTGGTCCAATTCTGTGGAGGAAAAAAGGCATTTTCTATACCCCTGGCACCTAATAAACTCAGTGAATGTTTCCTGAGCAAATGAAGGAAGGAAGGAATAAATGAAAGGATGAACCAGCACCAACAAGGGAGCCGTCATCAAAGCACAGGAAGTGGCTGGACCAGGGCCACAGTGCCCCTGGCTCAGGTTAAATCAGGAGATGCTGGGGTGCCCCTCCCAGAACAGTGAAACAGAAACACATCCCACCCTCAAGAAGAGCCTTGACTTCACTTAATAGTTCTCATCAGCATTTATGAGAACAGACACGTGAGAAAACTCTCCTACCATCCTCCAAGCAGGATTTGTGCTGGAGCACCCAACTACTGATTCTGAAATAAAATTTCTCGTTAAGGCTCACTTTTCAAGTATCTTTTTAACCTCCAGTGACATAAAGTAAAAGCCAGAGGTTCAATTACTTTTAGCTGAATGCTCAGAAAGGAGGCACAAATGCTTCCTGGAAATGCAGGAACACAGCCACCCCAGCCAACGAGGGACGGCCTGGGCGGGCCCAGTTTCCCCAACTCACCTCTAACCCCGGATACACATGAGCTCATGCGAGACATCACATGCATAACTCCAAGCCACAATATAAAAACTATCGCTAGAGATACTTTCATTGGGGAGCTGACATAAATTCTTAAACTCAAAAATTAAAATAATTATAACTAGCTCTAAACAAAGTATTTAGTAAGTTTTTTAAAAACCTACAACTTAAATATTTACTTTATGAAATTACTAAGGATAAGTTTAGAGTACCGGAGAAATAAAGAAGTCATATAAAAATGGTATAAAATGCTACTGTAGTAAATAAAAGCAAGCATCTCCAGAGAGGTCAAAGTAAACTCGCTATTCCATCGCCAGTGATGCCTGCATTCGACTCCAAGGCCTGGTGTGTTTCTGGTGCAACTCAGTGGACATGAGTGAAGAAGACCCACCGCCCTATGCCCAGCAGCCCAAGTGAACCCAGAGGACAGAAACACTGCCAGTGCCGAGACTCCTCCACACTCCTGCAACTATGCAGATAGACAGTTTACTTGTAATTCTTTCACAATTTTTTTCTGTTTTTCCAATTCTTCCTGGAGCTGGACCACTTTTCTTCTGGTGTTGACGTTTGTCTCCTCAAGATGTTTAATTTCTTCTTCTTGGATTAACAGTTGTCTATCTGCCAACTCTTTCTTTATAACCAATTCATTAAATCCATCTGACTTTTCTCTCAACTTTTCTTGTAACGATTCAACCTAGAACAACAAGAAAGCACAACACAGTGCAACTGAGCACAAGCAGGCAGTGCTCCATGCTCTTCTCTAGACCCAGGCTGCACAATGACACCTAATGACAGAGTGGGATAAAGGTGCACTAAGGACATTCTCTGTTAATAAAAAGGCACAAAAAAAATAATATGATGAAAACTTTGTTAGTAAAATAAGATTAGTTCTGGGCCGGCCCGGTGGCACACTGGAGAGTGCACTGCTTGGGAGCGTGGCGGCGCTCCCTCCGAGGGTTCAGATCCCATGTGGAGACTGGTTCCCGCTCACTGGCTGAGCTCAGTGCGGTTGCAACACCGAGGGTTGCGATCCCGTTGCCGGTCCCCGGTACAGGCGTGACACTGAGGGTTGCGATCCCGTTACCGGTCAGTAAAAAAAGACAAAAAGGAAAAAATAATAATAATAATAATATTAGTTCTGATAGAAAGGACAGAACACTACTCAGCAATGAAAAAGAATGAACGATGCATAGGCAACCACCTGGATGAATCTCCAGAAAATTAGGCTGAGTGAAAAAAGTCAATTCCAAAAGGTAACATACGCATGATTCCATTTATGTAGTATTATAGAAGTAACAGATTGTGGAAAGAGACTACAGATTCCTGGGAGTCGGGGGCTGGGGAGAGGATGAGGCTAGGAGGGCAGTGTGAGGGGCCCTATGGGGAGGGATGCTCTGTGGCTCCGCTGCGTCCTATTGACCAGTTGTGATGTGGTACCCTGGGGCTGTAAGATGTGACCTTGGGGGATGAGGCATAGAGCTGCTTCTGACAACCGCATGTGAATCCACCATTATCTCAAAATAAATTTAATTTAAATAAAGAATAAGCAAATCAACTACAGCTACCTCAGACAAGAGGAAGCCCCAAGCAAAAGGAGGACGTCCACGCTGCCCCTCCCTGTCTGGGCATGCAGAGTGAGGGCAAGCCATGGCTACCAGTCACGCAGAAGGGACAAAGCACAGGCAAGCACTGCCCACCCTTACCTCTGCATCCAGCTGTGAGCACTGTTGGTTCCAGGTACATGGATGGCAGAAAGTCAAAATGAGACAGAGCTTAAAAACACTGTAGAGAATTGCTCCCGAAGGCAGGGCACATGGCAGGCTCACTCACCTGGCTGTCGCAGGGGCCCCAGGGCTGTGGCTTGGCCGCCTGGCGGAGCTGCCCCTCCAGCCTCCGAATCTCCTGCTGGAACTCCTCACGTTCATGCTCCCGCTCAGCAGCCTGTTCCTGGGACGAGAGGCAGCATGTTGGGACCACCCTGCAGGGAGCGTGTAACAGGCAGGGCCTGGCCTCACGTGACCTCCACAGCCACTGCACACATGTGTCCACCCGCCCAGTAATGTGAACTCTAAATGCCCCCCTCCTCACAGCTGTTTTTGTGAAGAGGAGTTAAGAAGAATGGCCCTTTGGATGTAACATGGTGGAGACTTAGACCGCAGGAAGAACCGCAGGCCAAGAGGATGGCGAGGATGCCCCTGGATCACACGCCACAAAATGCTGACAATGTGAAAGTGCCCACTGAGACCACAGGAACACAGGAATCTATCTGTACAGTGGAGGGCTAGACAACGATCTTCAATGTCATATTACAGAAGCTTATTTAATGACCCGGAATGAAGTTCATGCTATAGTGATGACTTTTAGTGATGCAAATAAAAATTCTAATTCAGAATTCTTACATCCATGAACTGCCGCTGGCTGCGCAAATGCTTGTCGAGAGAGACCATCTGCTGTCTGAGGGTGGAGATTTCCTTGGCACGCGCGGCACACCCCTGATGCTGAGAGAGCTGTTCTTCCAACTCAGACTCCAGAACCTTCATCTGAGAGAGCATAGCTGAGCGGTCCTTCTCAGATTGCTTCCGGGCCTCTGACTGCTCTTCGATTAGAGAGTCCACTTCCTTCCTTAGAGCTAATAATGCAAAAAAGACGGCTGTTGGGGAAAGACTGCAACTCAGAGCATGGTGCTAATGTTGGGCAGAGAGCACAACACATGCATTTTCTTGTAGTGAAGACATATAAAGCAGACACCAAACCACGACGGACTGCTGTAGGAGCCCCAGAATGGCTGGGAAAGAGCATACACTGCACCTGGCCTCCCTGACAGGCGGGGTTAGAGCACAGGGGTTCTGTGAAGCTTCCAAACCTCACTCCCACGAAGACAGGCACAGTTCATCCCCTTTCTGAAACCTTTTGCTCTCTCAGAGATGTGACATGGTGAGGTCAGCGCTGCCATGTGGGATACACAATACACCCCAAGAGCCCACAGGAGCTTCTCTCCAGCAGATCCCGAGCACACAGCCTCACATATCCAGAGTTTAGTCAGTCACCGAAAATAAAGCCAATTTTTTTTTGAATAAAAAACAAAAAGCACAACAAAAAAAATCTTTTAAATGAAAATTAGCTAAGAAAAAAATTTTAAAGCCTGAGAAGAATACATCTTGGTAGTCCCAAATGACATATCAGGTAATTTCCTAGGAATTATGTTTTCACATATATTCTCCAATATGGAAAAATAAAAGTAACACAAAACTTCCACCCATGTGAGCGCAATCTCACAGGTGGCACTCCAGGCAGACGTGGTCACAGTACTCAATGCCCAGGGCTGTGGTCTACCTTAGAGGAAAAGCATACAAGCAATTAGTGCAATAGATTGAATTATGTCCCCCCAAACTCACTGAATCTTGAACTGTGTCCACCATGTTTTACGTATTAGAAACTTAGCCCCTAATGTGACTGTTAAGAGGATGGGAAATCCTATTATGGTAATTGAAAGGTGGAGCCTTGAAGAGGTGATAGGATTGTAGGACCATGCAGTAGTGAATGGATTAAAAATGGTGGTCAGGGGTGTGGTTCTGAGGGCTTTAAAAGAAGGGGAGTGTCTGTCTTTCTCTCTCTCTTGCTCTCTCTGCTTCCACCATCTTGCAATGTGAGACCCCTGGGTCACTGTCGCCACCACCAGATGGACTTTGGACCTCCCAGCCTCAGAAACTGTAAGCAATAAATTTCATTTTCTTTATAAATCACCCAGTTCCTTGTACTTTGTTATAAGTAACATAAACGGACTAATACAATTAGTAACCTAAAAGCCCATTTATTTATTTATTTATTTATTTATTTGTCTTTTTTCCGTGTCCGGCAACGGATCGCAACCCTCAGTGTTGCCCCCGTACCGGACCGGGGACCGGCAACGGGATTGCAAACCTCGGTGTTGCTCCCGCGCCTCGCTCAGCCAGTGAGCGGGAACCGGTCTGTATGTGGGATCCGAACCCTCGGGCGGGAGCGCCGCCGCGCTTCCCAAGCGGCGCACTATCCAGTGCGCCACCAGGCCAGCCCCTAAAAGTCCATTTAAAGTTAACTAGTGGCCATGGTTTGAATGTCTGTCCCCTCCAAAACTATGTTGAGACTTAATTGTCAATGTAATGGTACTGAAGGAGGGGCCTTTAAGAGGTGATGAAGCCAGGAGGGCTCCACTCTCGCAGGTGGTTTTAGTGCCTTCCTACCAGGGCCTTCGGGAGTGGTTCCCCTCTCAGCCCTTCTGCCTCCTGCCACGTGAGGTCACAGCTTTCCTCCCCTCCAGAGCAGGCAGCGTGCAAAGGTGCCTAACCAGACACCAAACCTGCCGGCACCTGACCGGAGACCTCCCAGCCTTCAGAGCTGTGAGCCCATAAATTTCTGTCCACTATAAATTACCCAGTTTCAGGTATTCTGTTACAGCCATACAGAATGGACTGAGGCACTGGGTAATTAGGCCCCACCTAAGTTCTAACTACAGATTAAAAAGCACCTTGAAAAAAGGGGCTTGCTGCTGAGAATCCTGAAGTGGTTAAATTATTCAACACTGAAATATTAAAATTATACGATTCTATTTACGTTTCATTTAACTATTTCAAATTAATTATTTTGGTTTACAAAAATCTGTCAGTCTTTTATGACAAACTATCATTATCACTAATGTAATATTCTCAATAAATTTTCATGCCAGCAACTCAGCAATTACACAATCTAGCCATGAACATGCAGTCACAGCAATGTCATACGCAACCTCTAAGATGTGGAAGGAGGCCCGTGCATCACCCTGGTCGTGGAGACAGACCAGGCTCCTACTTAGTCCAGAAACCACCACCTTCAGGGCCACATGCACTGGGGCTGTGTGTCACAGGGAAGGCCCCTGTTCACAGCACACTAGGCCTCCGTGAAGCATGGACCTACGTCCAAGGTGGCTGTGCAGGTAAAGCCCCTGCTGAGGAGCTTACCAGGAAGTCAGAGCAGACTCAGGAGCTCGCATGAGGCCAGCCCCTCCCCTGGAAACCTTCCAGGAGGCCTAGAGTAGCAACCCAGCCCAAGAACAACTACAACTATCATAAGACATCAATTCCTGCAAAACAGCACTAACTGCAGCTCAGTAACTGTAGCAAATATCATTAGGGAAATGCTTGCACTTTACTGAAGTGTTAACATGGGACAACTTTCGCCAACTTTTATGAACGGATATTAAAGATTATAGCATTATTTTACTTAGCAGTTTGCCACAAAAGCTCTGAAGTACTTTTCCTCTTTAATAAATAATTTGCAAAATCTGATGCAAACATACAGCACATCACACACAGAATTCAGTCCTTTGTTTTTACAAACCCAAATCCTTCTGTGCCACATCGACTGGAGTGCCTACAACCAAACGTGCAGCATTTACTGAGAGGAAAACAAAAGAGCGTGTGACCTAGAGCATGAATGTCAGGGACAGGTGAGGGAGGTGTCAGCAGCAGGGGGTGTCCACTTTTAAAGGAGACAAAGAAAACAAACAGGACAGGTGGTACCTCCCCCAAGGGTGGCCACAAAAAAACACCACACAGATAAACAGGCACCACACAAGGCAGAGGTGAGGTGGTGTGAGTCCCCCACAAGGTGCCAAGACCCCCAAGACACCTGCGAAGTTGGTCAATGTTCACAAGGACCCAAAGGAGAACTGGGACCAAGCAGCAGCCCCCAGGACCACACCTGGAAGCCTCAGTCTGCAAGTGCACACACGCGCTTTCCCTAAGCGGAAGGAAGACCAGACTGAGAAATTAAGGCACAGTTAACAGCGTCTAAGTTAGAGCAAGGACCAAGAGGACCCCAGAGAAACGACTGGCCCGAGTCTGGGAAACGGACCTATGGAATCTGTTCCTGCCATGTCGGGTACCTGCTGCTACTGCAGGGCCCACCACAAACCTCGGTGTCTGTCCTGGGACCTGCGGGCCCAGCCCTGCCAGGGGCTACCAGCCTGTGGACATCCAGAGCCCACCCCCACCTGCCACAGTGCTCCCTGGTGGGCCAGACCTCGCCACAGGGGGTAAACCAAAGACAAAAAAGAGGCAGGACAGCCACAGCCTCGGAGAGACACACAAGAAGTGCCAGGCCCCACATGGCAGAACTCTGGGCACAACAGGGCCCAATACAGGTCATGACCAGGGGCCACAGGCTCCAAGCCTTACCAGGCTGCTCAACAGCACAGGAAGTCCCACACCTCTTTATTTGCCACCTGTCCCGACTCTGAAGTCCCAGCAGCCAGGAAGAGGTGAACTGACTGGAGTCCAAGTGCTCACAGCAACAAACACAGGGTCTCCATCAACAGCGGAGGCCCAGCTGCCTGGCTGGGACAATGACACTTGAAAGAGGCAGCAAAGTGCTGTCCCCGGGGAAGGACCAATCCACGGGAAGTGTTCCAGAAAGACAGAAAAGGGTGAGCAGAGAGAAGTGTCTGCAGAAATTATGACCAACAAATACCAGTTTAACAAAAAATGCCAGAGCTAGGGCTGGCCCATGGCTCACTTGAGAGAGTGTGGTACTGACAACACAAAGTCAAGGGGTAAGATCCCCTTACTTGTCATCTTTAAAAAAAAAAAAAGCCATACCTTATATTGAATAGGCTGGGTGTGGAGAACCCACACTGGACATGTGGCATACAGAACATTAGAGAAAAGTTTCTAAAAACCCTGCAAAGAAACAATAAGGCTGCATAAAAATATGACAGCTTATAGCTGCAAAGCATTTAAGGAAAAGCAGCAGGATTTGGAGCTGCACATATCCAGCTGCAACCTCAACTAATATGAGAGTGAACTAAAGAAACTTCCAGGCACAGAAGGCCCAAGGGAGGTTTCCCGCACACAGTCCCTCTTTGGAAGCACAGTCTGGAGGAGGCCAGAAGGGT